CGAATGGAGACCAACAAAGATAGGGATACTAACGAACGGACATGGGGAAGGAGGAGAGAGGACTACAAAAAGGGGGGCAGCTTGGGGATCACCACGAGGTCCCGCTCGAAGGTGAACCCCTTCAGGAAGAGCGGCATGAACCACGAAACCCTGGGCGGGATGTGATGGCGGGGGCCGCTAGCTTGACTCTTGAGTGCTTCATATCAAGAAGGGAGCCAAGCTAATCTGGGCGGGATGTGAGGGCCGCCGCCATGCAGCTCAACCCATAATTCTTGGCTGCCAAGCCACTGGGCTGAGGGCTGACAGGCCCGCTGGCGCGAGGCAAGACATCGGCACTGCTCGGCGACAGAGCGGGTGGTCGCCACGTCCTCTGCTGATCCGCCCGACTAAAGAAGCCACACGTTTGCTCAGGTGTTCTTCTGGAGGGGGACGGGGGGCCCACACGTTTATCCATGGGAAGCCAAGCCCTGGAAATCGGCCAGACAAGCACTGCTCCGCCGCACCTCTTGAAACCTTTGTCGACCGCGCGTGCCCGCCGCCGACGTGTCCCCCCATGCAGCCGGTGCGCAGCATGAGCGACGTGCTACATTTCATCGCTCATCCCCCTCGTCGGCACACAAAACGAGACCAGCACCAGAGGGAGGGGCACGAGCATGCCTCGATGATCGCTGTCATTTGGCTGCGCTGCCGTCTCCCAAAGCTGGGTACACGCACGCACCCTGATGCACCCGCACACATTGTGCACATATTTTGCGCTCGCGCACCTCACCCCTGTTCAATATGACCCTCTGTCTTCTTCACCCACCGAATTGGGAGGCCACCAAGATCGGGCGCCACCTCCATCGAAGGAGACGGACCGACGACCCTGGTGCTCGTGGCAACCACGGTCAGGAACTGTTGCTCAGCGCGTCGCTCAGCGGCGGCCCCGGCGATGCGCTGTACCCTGCGAGCGGATAGCGTGTCGCTCCGCTCCGCCGGGGCGGGAGGCTCGGAGAGGCTCGGGACGTGGACGCCTGGGGACCCAGAGGTGAGGAGCGTGTCGCGCCGAGGCGTGCTGGGCCAGCATCGGCGGAGCGACGCGCGCTGAGCCGAACCTCCTGGCCGTATCTCCTGGGCGAGCCTTCATGGGGAGCCTCCGTGGACCTACGCAGCCATGGCAGAAACGTGATGTTGGCCAGAGTTCGTCCAGATTGCGGCAACCCCTCGTCGCCCTCTCGTCCGGGCTTCGCCCAGATTTCGTCCAGCTGTCGTCCAGGTTTCGCCCAGGGCATCTGGGACCCTCGGAGGCTCCCATGAAGGACCACACAACATCTCTGGCATCCCAGGTGGCGCTCAGACTGCAGTCAGAACGAGTGGCAAGGACGCGCGATGAGGATGCAAGGACACTTCGGAGGGCCACGCCGACACTTTTCGAGCGGGGCGCGGCCAACGACAGTGGCCAAGGATGGGCCGAAGGAAAGCGGTGCAACGAGAACCTCGAAAAGTCGCTCCTCCTTGCTGTCAGCTTCGACCGCACCTCTAACACCACACGCGGGGCGGACCTCGTCGTAAGTCGGGCGTGACCCCCATAGAGGGGGATTACCGACGAAAAATAAAAAATACTCGAAACATATTCCAAAATGGCCAAAAAATACCCCCAAAAAAGTCCACAGACTATTTCCCCATATCCTAAGATGGGGTTCTTGTTATTACTTGGACGCCTCCTACTCCTTCTTCCTCTTCCTCTTCTTCTTCTCCTCCCCCTCCTCCTCCTCATACCCAGACTTACTCATACACAGACTTACTCATACACAGACTTACTCATACTCAGACCTACTCATACTCAGACCTACTCATACTCAGACATACTCATATTCAGACCTACTCATACTCAGACCTACTCATACTCAGACCTACTCATACTCGGACCTTCTGATTTTCTGACTTACTCAACACACAGCAGATTCTCATACTAAGACTTACTCATACCCAGACTTGTTGACTTACTCAAACCTAGACTCACTCAGCTGGGCGCTGGTGTCAGCACCCCTAAGGGGAGCCGCCGAGGGGTATGACACGGTCCCGTTCGCGGCCGTTTTGTGGGGAAGTCTCAAGCGGTTTGCCTGTGTTCTGTCCCAACATCCTTCGCTTTCGGAGCAGAGTTGGAGGATGTCTCGAGCGAGGCGCTCATTTTCACACCCCTAAAGGGAGCCGCCGAGGGGTATGACACGGTCCCGTTCGCGGCCGTTTTGTGGGGAAGTCTCAAGCGGTTTGCCTGTGTTCTGTCCCAACATCCTTCGCTTTCGGAGCAGATTTGGCTCGAGCGAGGCGCTCATTGTCACGCCCCTAGGGGGGGCCGCCGAGGGGTATGACACGGTTCCGTTCGCGGCCGTTTTGTGGGGATGTCTCAAGCGGTTTGCTTGTTTTCTGTCCCAGCATCCTTCGCTTTCGGAGCAGATTTGGAGGATGTCTCGAGCGAGGCGCTCATTTTCACCCCCCAGGTGGGCCAGATTTTGAGGATGTCTCGTTCGGTTTGCCTGTCTTGGTGGCCAGACTCGTGGGCACAGGTTCTCCTCAGGATGCCACAGGATGCTCCAACAGGCTCCAGAAAGCCCCTGGGGACCACATGAGGTCCCAGGAGGCATCAGGAGGCCACAGAAAGACTCAAGCGGCCACAAGATGTCCCAAGAGGCCCCAGGAGGCCCCAGGAAGCTCCAGGAGGCTTCAGGAAGCCACAGGAGGCCCCAGGAGGCCACAGGAAGCGCCAGGAGACTTCGGAAGGCAACAGGAGGCCCCGAGAGGCCCCAGGAGCAGGAGGCCTCAGAAGGCAACAGGAGTGGTTCCAATCCCATGTGTTTTACGTATGCTCCTATAGATTGGGCCTCACCTGGAGCACGAATCCTTGACGTTATACGTATGTTTCTATAGATTGTCCTTCTCCTGTGAACACAATCCTAAATGTTTTACTTATGTTCCTATATGTTGGGCCTCTCCTGGGGCACGAGTCCTTGGTGCTTTACGTGTGTTCCTATAGATTGCCCTTCTCCTGTGGCTCCAATCCGCAATGTTTTATGTACGTCGGTTACTATAGATTGGGCCTCTCCTGGGGCACGAAGCCTCCCTGGGAGGTTTTAGGAGGCCCCAGGAGGCCCCAAGAGGCTCCTGGAGGCCCCAGGAAGCCCCAGTAGGTTTCAGGAGGCCCCAGGAGGCCCCAGGCTCATGCGCAGAGACGCGCTCGTACTACTGAGGCTCATTCACACTCCAATTCATTCGCAGTTAGATTCATGACCAGACCGCCACAACTGAAGCCCGTTAAAATTCGAAAGCTCTTGCGCCTAGACATTCACGGCGGACAGGTCCATGCGAATAGATGCACGTATGGGGAGCTCCACGCTGCGAATAATTTTTGACTATGTTTGAATATACCCCCCCTGTAGAGGGACGGGCCCGACGGAAGCCTCGTCCCCGGTGGACTGGCGCCGCGCACGAGGGGCGCCGGCACGAGGGGGGGGGGAGCCCTGCCAGGAGAAGGCAGGGGGGGGGGCCCTCTGGGGCAAAGGTGCCCCCCCGCTTCCCGGGCGGCCCCTCGGCCCCGCGCGTCCGTGTAGAGCGGAGGGGGAGAGAGCGATGACCATGACCCGAGCGTGCCCTGCCACGAGAAGGCAGGGGGGGGCTTCTGGGGAAATGCCCCCCGTCTTCCCGGCGGCCCCTCGGCCCCGCGGATGTGCAGAGCGGAGGGGGAGAGAATTAACGATGTGGCCATAATCACAGCGTGCCTGTCCCAGTGAAGACTGGAAAACCGCTGCCTCTCAGGGGGGGCGGTCTCCCCACGTGCACGGGACGCCTGGGGAGGAGGAATCGCACCGCGGGGGACGAAGCTCCGTGGCAGTCTTAGCGGCCGCACGGGGCTCAGTGGCAGAGAACTCAGGGGCAGAACCACGATGGCCACCATGACAAAGACTGAACGTAGAAAGGTCGGTGTCGCCCTTGGTCATGGTCCATCTTGGTCGTCGTCGATTCGTGGATCACTCTCGCGAGCCAGCGACAGCCGGCATGGACCATGACCAAGACTGGTATCGACGGGACCCCGCGACATGTCGGTCACGGTCATCGTGCCGTTCCCCCGTCGATAGGGGACCAGCCCCCCTCGCGCCACACCCGCCTCCGAATCGAGGCGACCGCCAGTGCTGGTGTGGGTCTCCCCCTGCAGGCCCAAGGCCCATGCCCCGGGCACCGAGCCCGCGGGGCTCTGCTCGGCCCTCGGGCGGCGCGCTCGGCCACGGACCCCCTCGTGAGCCATCTGCCTCCCCCTGATCTCTTCACGACGTCGACCCCCAAAGGGTCTCGACCCGCTCCCCATGGACAGGCTCTTCATCCCGAGTCCTTCCTTGACGGCCCCGAGGCCTGGCAAGGGCTGAAAATATGAAGAACCTCCCGTCGTGATTTCTTCGCTGCCCGAGGGGGTCTGGGAGTTCGCCACTGTGAAAGTCGGCGGCGCTTCAGTGGCCGTCCGCGGCCTTCCTCGGCGGGGATCGCCGGTGCTTGTGGTGGCCATCGCCAGCAGCCTTTCGGGCGGTCTCCGACGGTCCTCGCCGCGCGATTGCGCTCGCAGACTCCAGGCTCGGGCAGGGAGGCCATGGCCGAGCGCCGCACCAATGCGGTGAGGGCACTGGACAAGGAACAGGTTACGAGGCCTATGTTGCATCACAGCAGCAACTCGGCCCCTGACTCTCGTCCTGGGCTCGGTGTAGTGAAGTGATGAATTTCGGGGGCCTCACGTGGGAAAAAGCATCACTTCACTAATCTGGGGCCCCGGGGGACTCAGTGGGCCCTGGGGCCCAAAATTAGTGACATGATGGCTTTCGGGCCTCGGACCAATGGATGAGGAATCCAGGGTCTCGAAGCCAGTGGAGCTTCGATCGTGGGTTGGCCATGGATGCTACCGCCGCCCTCATCAGGTAAGGAAGCCCCCAGGGTCTGAAGCCTCCTGGGCACATTCCTTAACGGACGACCCCACCGCGTCAGACCTCCAGCCGGGCGATGGGCCACCGAATCTGCAGGCCAGGGGGGCCGCAAGGCGACATTGGATCGCTCGCGTCATCATGCCACCATGGAGAGTTCGGTGGCCGCTCACGAGAGCCTCCCGTACCAGCTTATCGGCTCTTGCGAGTCGACGCTAGTCGACGCTAGATCGACGCTCGTCGACTCTAGACCGACGCGAATCGACGCGAACAACCGACGCTACATCGGCGCTACCGCATCGACTCCCAGACGCGAATCGACGCGAATCGACGCCAAAGACAGAATTACGAAGGTACACAAGGCTCCCATGATTTGCTACCGAAGAAGGTTGCCAAATGAGGAACCAGAGGAGCTTTTCCCGACGGCCGCGGGTCTCGGCCACAAAGAGCTTCCCCGACCTAGCCCTGGGAGGCCTGGAGTACACAGGGCACCCTCCTGGCACCGATGCTCCGTTCGGCGTCTTGACTGTCAGGCCCACTCGCTCCGATCACTCCACGCGCACACGCCGCTCGAAGATGTGGCCCTGTGCGCCTTCCATGGCGCTCACTTCTGACGCAGCCTGGCCTCAAAGGGTGGGGACAAAAAAAGGCCAGGGGAGCGCGCCCCCTCCCGCCGACGCCCGCTGATACGGACGGCACAGGCCGTCACGAGCACCATGGAGGGCACAGCTGGTATCGCCGCGACAAGGCGTTAAGAGACGTTCTCTCCCAACTGTGCTCCTCCACCCTTCCTTCCAGCCTCTCCTCCTCCCTTCCAACTTCACCACTCCTCACCACAGCCTCGCCAGACCCTCACCGCCCCTCACCGCCCCTCGCCTCCCCTCCCTCGCCTCACGTCCTGACCTCACCTCACCCCCTCGCCTCACCTCACCTCCCAACTTTCTTCCCCCTAACCTCCTCCCCTCCTTCCAGCCAGAGCGCTTCCCCCCTCCTCTGGCACGCAGAAGCCGGAGCCTGCGGGAAGCAGGCCCTGGACCCTGGGGCCTCTCCCTGGGGCCAAGTCGTCCGTCCCCCGAGGCCGCTGCTTGACGGCCCCGGGGCCCGCGAGGAGGGCCCCGGGAGCCCGGAAGCACCTCGAAACCTTCGGGCCCGTTCCCCCTGAGAGGACCCCTTTTCGGGTGGCGACCGCCGAATCCCATCCCCACAAAGCATCGGTTCCTCTGAACCGATGGGCGGCGGGGGCAGGGCTCGGACTTCGCCACGCGCTCGACGGATTCCGAACACTGCCCCCGCCGCCCATGGAGCTGCCTGACTCGTGGATCCGCGAGGTGTAGGGTTCGGCTTCCACCGCCAGCCTTCCTCGCGGACACTCCACGACGTGATGTTGTTCCGGTGCGCGGCTGCAGGAGCTTTCGCCAACCCTTCGCGCCGGCGGCAAATCTTCGCCCCCGCCCTGGTCCTGCCGGCCCCGGGGCCCGAATGAGGAACCCTGGATCGGCGGCTCCAAAGGGTGTGGTTTGCAGAGGGTGCGGTTTGCAATTGGCACCCGGGAGGGCACCCGGGGGGGGGCAAGCGGGGGCCTCGATGGAGCTCTCCGCCGCGCCCCGCAGAGGCTCGACGAGGACAGTGCCGGGCCCCCCAGGCCCCCACGGCGCCGATCGCAAACCGCACCCCGGCGTAACCGCACCTTTGTAATCGCCGACGGGAGACCCAAATCGAGGGGACACGGCGGGTTGACGAGAAGACGTGTCGCCCGGCCCCGGGCCGCTGAGGCCCCCGAGCAGGCAAAGACGAGCAGCGCCAGAGAGAGCGGTGCCGTCGGCTCCACGGGCCCTCCTCCGAGGCCCTCCTCCGAGAGGGAACGCTCGGGCACACAAACCCAAAGGGGGGGGGGACATCGAGCGCTGGAATCGGCGATGCATCGCCGATACATCGGCAAACTTAGCTGCCCCGATACGCAACACGCAACACGTAGCGTATTGATACGGAGCTCAACACGTGGACTGAAAACGCAGGTCCGACGCGATACGTTCGCCAAAACGTGTGCCACAATGTGGAGCCAACACGCAACGTATTGACACGGACGTCTTGAACACGGGACGTGTTGCGTTTCAAAACGGGCGTATCGAGACAACTAATTGGGCAAAGGGTTCCGCCAGCGAATCCGCGAGTTCCTGGGCGGGGTGGGCCATCGGGCCCCTGACGGCGATGAACGAGCGATTGGGGGTCGATGCATCCCCCCTGTGCCTATGCCCTCATAACGTTATCCTACTGCCGTCTCCAACTCGTCGCGATGGTGCTGCTGCTGCTCCTCCCCCTCCCCCTTCTCCTCGCCCTCCTCCTTTTCCTCCTTTCCCTCCTCCTGCTCCTCCTCTTCCTCCTCCTCCTCCTCTTCCTCCTCCTCCTCCTCCTCCTCCTCCTCTTCCTCCTCCTCCTCCTCTTCCTCCTCCTCCTTCTCCTCCTCCTCCCCCTCCTCATGCTGCTGATGTTCATCGTGCTCCGCTTCCTCCCTCCCACCTCCCCTTCCTCGTCTCCTGGTGCCTGGCGGTGGGTGGTCTGTCACGCCCCTGGGAACGTGTGCGGCCATTTGCTTCGGAGCCGCCTCGCCTGTCGCTTCCCTCCCCCCCTCCCAGTCCTGGCCTCACGCGTAGCGAAGTGATCAATCAATGAAGGGGCCCTGGGACACACAAATAAATACACCCAAGAGGGCTCCCACAAGCAAAAATCGTCTCATTCCCTTAGGAAAGCGTGCATTTTTAACATATCCGCCTCTTCGTCTTTCACACCTTTCAAGGCGGTCCAAGAGGCCCCCAAGATCACCCCAAGACGGCCCGAGAGACCCTCAAGACCGCTCAAATACGGCCCAATCCAAGAAGGCCCAAGAAACCCTCAAGACGGTCCAAGAGGCCCCAAGACGGCCCCATGATTGAGGTCCACAGGGGCAACCTGAACGGAAATTTTGAGCCTCCCGCCCAAACACGCCCCCGAAATGCCCCTACAAGCCCCCAAGTAGCCCCACGAAGCCCCCAAGAGAGCCCCAAGAGGCCCCCAACAGGCCGCAAGAAAGCCCCAAGAGGCCCCCAAGAGACCCCCAGGAAGCTCCCAGGAGGCCCCCAAGAGGCCAGGCAGACCCCCCCAAGAGACCGCCAAGAGGGCCCACCCAGAGCCATCCACGAGGCCTCCCAAAGTTACCAAGAAGCTCCCACGAAGCTTCCAAAGGCCCCCAAGACCCCCCAAGACCCCGCGATGGCACAATACGGGCCGGCGGAATGAGCGAAGCGCTTCAATGTAAATACACACAAATAAAAAGATTCCCCATATCTTCCCATCTGTTCTGGGTTTTTGTCTTCCCCACCACTTCCCATGTTGTCCCAAAATTTCCAGGACATCGAAGATTCATTGTGTCTGTGTGTTTCTTTCCCTCCTGAATCAACCTTCCTGGAAAGAACAAAGAACAGCAACAACAGAATCTCTCAGGGTCCGCGCGGAGTGCTTGGATCTGCGCTGGACTCCCTCCCTGGCGCGCAGAGCGCGCCAGGGGCGGCGCCAGAGGCGCCACCGGGGGGGGGCCCAGAGCAGATCAAAGAAATCCGCTCAGAGCGTCGAAAGTTTCTGTCTGTGCAGTCTGTTCTTCTCTGAGTCCTCGCCTCCTCCTGCACTCCATGCTTGCAATGCTGTGCTAACGCTCTCTTGCTCTGCCCAGCCTGTCGGAACTGCCCGGCAGAGGAGGAGGAGGAGGAGGAGGAGGAGGAGGGGGACGAGGACGAGGACGAGGACGAGAAGGAGAAGAAGGAGGAGTTGGACGAGGAGGAGAAGGAGGAGTAGGCGGAGGCGGAGGCGGAGGCGGAGGCATAGGCGAAGGCGAGGTCAGAGGTGCGGGCCCTGGGGCCTGTCAGCGCCCAAGGCCTTCTCGGCAGTTTTGCTCTGCGTTTTTGATTCCTCGCCTCCTCCTGCACTCCCGCCCTCCTGCCCGGCCGCCCGGCACCGCTGCAGCGTGGAGGGCTTCAGGTTCAGGAGCAGCTCGTCCCGCCTCGGGCGCCGCGGTGAGGCGGGCGGCCCCCCGGCGGCAAGCGACCGTGCGGCGCCCGAGGGGCAGGAAGGCGGGAGGGCGTCGAGAGGGGGTTCCTCCTACTCCTCTTCCTCCTCTCCCTCCTCCTCCGCCTCTTCCTCCTCCTCCTCCTCCTCCTCCTCCTCCTCCTCCTCCTCCCCCTCCTCCTCATCCTCCCCATCCTCCTCCTCCCCGGGACGTGTTGGCAAGGCGGGCCGGGCGTTTCGCCTGAGACTCCCTCACCACGTATGACCTGAGGCTTGGATGCAAGACGCGACAGGCAACAGCTGGATCCATGATGATGATCCATGGCTGGATGGTTTCGCTGGATCTGAGCTGATCCTGCTTGATCCATCGCTGGATGATCCATCGCTGGATGATCCATGTAAGACGCGAGCTGATCCTGTTTCGCTGGGTGATCCATGATCCATGGCAACACCTTCACAGATGGAGGACGCGGTTGTTTAGAGAAGTAGCTCTCTCCCCTCAGCGCCGCGCACATCCGTCTTAAAAGCTTGTGCAAGGGCTTCACGGGTGGACGGCGGCTCTTTCTTAAAGGTGTGGATATCGTCTTAGGGCCTCGCCCATTCGTATTTAAAGTTTCGCAAGAGCTTCACGGAAGGAGGGCGGTTCCTCTTTAGACAATGTGTTTCTCACCTTCGCGCCGCGCACATCCGTCTCTGAAGTTTGCCAGAATCACGGATGGAGGGCGCGCCGTTTTCAAAATGCGGTTGCCACCTGAGCGCCGCGCACAGCCGTCTTAAAAGTTTGCCGGGGCTGCACGGTTGGAGAGCGCCTCCTTGTTAAAATGTGGCTGTCGCGTCAGCGCCGAGCACAATCTCTACACATGCTTGCAAGAATGTTACGAACGGAAGGCGGGCCGGTTTTTGTTATGTGGTTCCTGCCTTAGCGCCGCGCGCATTCGTCGCAAAAGTTTGCCAGAGCAGCACGGATGAACCGCAGCTCAGTTTGCAAAGGTTGGCTCTCGCGTTAACTTCGGGCACACTCGTCTTTAAAAAAGACCACTGCTTCAAACAGTCTCACGGTTGACGTCCCAGGAAACGCCTTCTGTTACGATGTGGGACTGTCAGGGCGCAACCATCGCGTTGAATCGCTGTTGAATTCCCAGAAACGGCAGCCAGGCGCGGCCCGGGAAAGTCAGGACGCAACAACCACGCTGGCTCGTGCAGCTGAAGTCCCAGGAGGGCGCCTTGGCACGATTGAGGATTCCCAAACTGGTGTCTTCCTACGAGGCACTGGTAGCCTCTGGCCTTTCTGCTCGCCCTCCTCATCCCCCTCATCCTCCATCCCCTTCTCCTTACAAAGAACTCCTCCCTATCAATCGCACCCCGAGACCTGTGGGCAGGACAGGCCGGGCGAGTCGCCTGAGCCTTCCCCACAGCGCATGAACCCTAAGCTTAGTAAGATCTTGCAGCGCCTTCACGGATGAGGGGGCGAGTGGTGTTCGGCGTGTGGCTCTCGCCCTTGGCGCCGTGCACGTTCGTCTTAGCAGTGTGCAGATGCTTCACGGACGGGGGGCGGCTCCGTCTCAACAGGTGGCTCGTGGCCTTAGGCCGCGCACAACCGCCCTAAGAGTTCGCAGCATGTCAAGGATGATTGCGGCAGACGGCGTGTTGGCACGATGTGGGACTGCCAGGGCAGTACCATCACGTTGATGCTCTGCATTGAAGTCCCAGGAGTGGCATTCTGGCGCGATTCAGGATCGTCATGACGCAACAAGAACGTTGATTCGCGGCGTTGAAGTCAAAGGAATGATGTTTCGGCGCGGTTCAGGATTTCAGACGGTTGTCCTCCAACGGGGCACGTCCTTCGGTGAAAATAAGTCATTGATGGGACCTATGAAGAGGAGGTTGGAGGGAGGCTTGATTGCAACATCGTTGATGGGCCTTGGGGCTACACTGGTCCTCTTTTTCCTCTTCTCATTCCTCCTCCTCCTCCTCCTCCTCCTCCTTCTCCTCCTCCTTGTCCTCCTCCTCGTCCTCCTCCTCCTCTGTTTCCTCCTACTCCCCGTCCTCCTCCTCTTCCACCACCTCCTCCTACTCCTTCTTCACCTCCTCCTCCTCCTCCTTCGCCTCTTCCTCCTCCCCTTCCTCATCCACCTATTCATCCTCCTCCCTCCTCCCCCTCCCCCTTTGCCCTCTCCTCCTCCTCCTCCTCCTCCCCTCCTTATCCTTCTCCTCCTCCCCCTCATCCTCCTCCTCTTCCTCTTACTCCCGCTCTTCCTTTTCCTTCCATCCACGGATTCCCTAGCCCCCTGATTCCAATGTGTGCTCCTACGCATCCCGGATTGGAGCAACTCGCATAGGCATCGGTACTGGATGGGCTGGCGGAGTAACGCTAAGAGTCCAGGGTAAATCGTTGCAGGGACATATGAAGAGGGAACGGGGAGGGAGGAATGATTGCTGAATCGAAGACGCGTATTGGTTTTACACTGGTCCTCCTCTCATCCACTTCCTCCTCATCCTCATCTTCATCCTCCTCATCTTCCTCCTCCTCCTCCTCCTCCTCCTGCTCCCCCCCCTCCTCCTCATCCTCCTCCTCCTCCTCCTCCTCCTCCTCCTCCTCCTCCTCCTCCTACTCCTGCTAATCCTCCTCCTCCTCCTCATCATCATCCTCCTCTTCCTCTTCCTCTTCATCTTCCTCATCCTCCCCACCCCACTCCCCCTCCACCTCCTCCTCCTCCTCCTCCTCCTCCTCCTCCTCCTCCGATTCCTCCTGCTCCTGCTCCTGCTCCTGCTCCTGCTCCTGCTCCTCCTCCTCCTCCACATCCTCCGCCTCCTCCTCATCCTCATCCTCCTACTCCTCTTTCCCCTCCTCATCCTCCTCCTCCTTCTTCTCATCTTCCAATTTCTCCTCCTCCTCCTCCTCCTCCTCCTCCTCTTCTTGCTCCGCCTAATCACCATCCTTATCATCATCATCATCATCAGCATCATCATCATCATCATCATCATCATCATCATCATCAGCAGCAGCAGCATCATCATCATCATCATCATCATCATCATCATCATCATCATCATCATCATCATCATCATCAACATCATCTGCATCATCATCATCATCATCATCATCATCATCATCATCATCATCATCATCATCATCATCATCAGCATCATCATCATCATCATCATCATCATCATCTCATCATCATCATCAACATCATCAGCATCATCATCATCATCATCCTCATCATCCTCATCATCATTATCATCAGCAGCAGCAGCATCATCAGCAGCGTCGTCATCATCAGCAGCATCATCACCATCATCATCATCATCAGCATCATCATCACCACCATCATCAGCAACATCAGCATCATCATCATCAGCATCATCACGATCATCAGTATAATCAGCATCATCAGCAGCATCATCATCACTATTCGCATCATCATCGTCATCATCAGCATCAGCATCATCATCATCATCATCATCAGCATCATCATCATTACTAGCAGGAGCGTCATCAGCACCAACAGCACCATCAGTAACAACAACCACATCATCATCAGCAGCATCATCAGCAGCATCAGCATCGTCATCAGCATCATCATCACCCTCAGCATCATCATTATCAGCAGCAGCAGCAGCATCATCACCTTCAACACCAGTACCATCAGACTCTGAACCACGATCAGTATCAGCATCATCATCACCATCAGCATCACCATCATCCTCGTCGTCACGATCGTCATCCGTATCAGCATCATCATCGTCGTCGCCATCAGCATCAGCATCTTCAACAGCAGCAGCATCAGCATCACCATCATCAGCAACATCGGCATCCTCATCATCCTCGTCAGCATCCTCATCATCATCATCATCATCATCATCATCATCATCACCACTACCATCAGCGTCATCATCGTCGGCAGCAGCCGCAGCTTCAGCTTCGTCAGCATCGTCATCATCAGCATCAGCATCATCATCCGTATCAGCATCATCATCATCAGCATCATCACCATCCCCATCAGCCATCAGAATTCTCAGCATCACCGTGTGCGTCTTATCACCCTCATCGTCCTAATCGTACCACCATCAGCAGCAGCATCAGCATAAGCATCAGCATCGTCATCATCAGCATCCTCATCATCACCATCATCAACAACATCAGCATCATCGTTTTCACCATCAGCATGATCATCAGCATCAGCATCAACAGCAACGACCACAGCATCTGCAGCAGCATCAGCAGCAGCACCATCATCATCAGCATCAGCATCAACATCATCATCATCGTCATCAGCAGCATGAGCGTCATACTCGCCATCTGCAAACATCAGCATTCGCATCAGCATCAGCATCAGCATCATCATAATCATCATCGTCGTCGTCATCGTGAGCCTCATCAGCATCACCATCATCGCCAGCATCATCATCATCAGCATCAGCACCATCATCATCATCATCATCATCAGCATCATCATCCTCGTTAGCACCATCTTCATCAGTAGAATCAGCATCGACATCAGCATCGCCACCCTGATCGTCATCAGCATCATCATCAGCATCAGCAGCATCATCGACATCAGCATCATCATAATCACCAGTAGCATCTTCATCATCCTCATTAGCATCATCATCATCATCGTCATCAGCAACATCAGCATCACAAGCATCAACATCAGCCTCGCCATCATCATCATCATCATCAGCAGCAGCAGCAGCATTATCATAAACATCATGAGCAGCATCATCGGCATCATCATCGTCAGCATCGACATCATCATCATCATCATCATCATCATCATCATCATCATCATCATCATCATGATCATCATCATCATCATCATCATCATCATCATCAGCATCATCATCATCGGCATTAGCATCATCAGCAGCAGCATGAGTATCAGCATCATCATCATTATCAGCAGCAGCAGCATCATCTTCATCATACACCTCCTCCCCCAGCCCAGGCTCCAACTACAACACCACCGACTCGTCCTCGACCCTTTCCTCCTCCTCATCATCATCATCATCACCATCATCATCAGGATCCTCTTCATCCTCATCCTCCTACTTATCCTCTTCCTCTTCCTCCACCTCCTCCTGGTCATAATCATCATCATCATCATCATCATCATCATCATCATCATCATCATCAGCATCATCATCATCCTCATCCTCATCCTCATCCTCATCCTCATCCTCATCCTCATCCTCATCCTCATCCTCATCATTCCCCCCCCCTGGTCATCATCATCAGCATCACAACGACAGCATCCTCTTCTTCCTCCGCCACCGCCGCCTCCTCATTCTGATCCGTCTCCTCCTCCTGCTCCCCCCCGCTTCATCCTCACCGTCCTCATGTTCCTGCAATTGGGCCTCATCATGATCCTGCTCTTCTGCTGCCCCTCCTGCCCCCCTGCTCCTCCTACTCCTCCAATGGAGGAGGAGGAGGACGAGGACGAGGAGCGCCAATACCTCCTGTGTCGACGGGTCTCTGGGCACTCAACGCCTCGTTAGTTCCAGTCAGGGACAAGGCCTAGCCGATCTAGGCGGATGCGGAAACATCGAATAATGTCTTGGCATGTTGGCGACCCGCTTTGAGGGCATCTAGCTGATGCGGCAGAGTTCAAGGGCGTCCGCCTTGATGCGAGGTAATTTCCTCGCCAGCGCGGCATGTATAGAAACTAAGAGCTGTTGCTAAAATTGAATTTTCCAGGGTGAGGTCAAACGCGGGATATTGCACAGGGAACCCCAAGCCCTAAACGGAGGAGGGGACACGGCGAGACTTCAGCTCGGGAACGACAAACGGGGCAAGTGAGGCGAGGGCTCTGTGAATAATGTGCTGTGCGATCGGGGCGGGAGTACCCGAAACACACAGCTCCACAAAGTGTCTGTAACGTGCTTTCGGTCCGTGGTGGTCCATCCCCCCGAGATCGTCCTGAGGTGGGGCAAGCGAGCGCTCGGAGGGGACCGACAGAGGATTGCCCGCGCCAGGCCCCAGCTCGCTCTCGTGTTGGGGGGGAAGGACGATCGAGCCACGACCGCAGGCGACGCCCAGTCAGGAGCTCAAGCTGATCGGGAGAAGTCAAGCCCGTGAGAGTACGCATGTGGCGGATGCCAGAACCCCTGAGCCCAAAAACCTTGTCATCTCTTGGGGGGTCGACTTTTGTTTCCGCTGCCTTCCGCCGCCCTTCCGCAGGCTTCCGCCGGCGGAGGCGGCCTCGTTTTACTTCCGCCGACCTTCCGCCGCCCTTTTCGCCGCCTTCCGTCGATGCGGAGACGACAACTCCTTCTGTCCTCGAAGGCGGGGCCCCGTTGGGAACGCTCCATATCGAGCCCTTTGCAGCTGAGGCCGACGACCCTCCAGGGCGGCCTCTCGCACGGCGCTTGGCGCACAGCTCTGGGCGGGGCGAAGCAGCCCGGAGGAGAGGGGGGCGAGGCGAAGCAGCCCAGAGGGGAGGGGGACGGGGGAGCGGCGCTGCTCACAGTATTGAACCGTCACCCGGCGACGCTGCCAACACGGAGCACACCAGCTGCACTGAATGTGACTACTCCAAGGCCCCCAGCAGCTCTCGAGGCCTCTGCGGCGTCCCTTAGACGGCGGTGAAGGGGGCCCCAGAGGGAGTCGAGCGTGAGTGAGCGCAGCGCCAGGCACAAGCGAAAAAGGGACAGGGCAGAGGGGCACCGCGAGCCATCAGAGCAGAGCTCAGAGAGGGCGAAAGAGTTGGGCGTAACGTGCAAGGCCTTGTGCGGGCCCAACAGGTACGCTTTCCTCATTGCATCGCTGATGGGGTGAAACTGCGGCACAGAAGACGTGCAGGACAGAACCGACGAAATGTACCACCTGGCAGCGACGTCGGCGGACGAGGCAAGATCACCGAGCTCGGTGCTCCTGCTGCGCCACGTCTGAAACGGGATAGCCCGTTCACTGTCGAGAGTCGCCCCTGGGCCCTGGAGGGCTCCGAGATATTTAGCTCCTGGAGCGATCAGAAGTTCAGACCAACTGGGAGCCCACAGGGAGAGCTCAGCCTGGACCGCAGATCTGACCTCATCTGTAAGGTCACTCCAGAGGGGAAAGATCACGCCCTTGACCGCCTGCAGAGACAGTGCAACTTTCTGCAACTGGAGAAAATCGGGCGCAAGGACTCGGACCGTCTTCAGGGAACGAAGGACCGTGCAGATGTCATCCGCACAGGCTCCGCGAGAACCGAGTGGGGAGCTCCCGAGAGAGGAGGCGGAGGTAGGGGCCGAGTCCAAGTGCCCACAAAGTGCCACTGAGAGGGCACCCCTGGGCCACGCCCCAGAGGAGTGGGATCTCACTCACACGTTTGCCTCCTACTTTGACGTAGCCTACCACGTGGGGGTATAGTCCAGCTACGGCATGCCTGCATCCGAGAGGGATTCTGAAACGCTCCAGAACTTTGCCCAGGTATGTTCTCTCCAAGCTCGCGAAAGCCGCTGAAAAATCGAAGCTGGTAAAAACTGGACATTTCTCCGCGACCCCGGGGTCCATCGGAGCGATCCTACATTCTGGGTCCATGAGAAGGACGTGTTTGCCCTGCTGCACCTCGTCGGTGGCCGACTCGGCCACGCGCTTTAGATTCCATGTGCTGGCCAAGGCGACGGAATTGGAGTCCTGGCTCTTGAGGCTCAGCGGCCTGGTATGCCGCGGCTGGCGGATGCAGTCCACCAAGTCGTTCGGGCGTGCCCTTCGGCAGGAAGGCGAAATCGCTGGCATTCAGGCCAGGCGCCACGATCGTGCCCTCGAACAGCGTCAGCATCACAGGGTAGACGTTGTCCACTGCGCGGGGGCATGGGGGCCACGCCTCCACAGGTAGCCAGCCAGGCCCTGGCGCAGACCGCCTCGCCCGGCGAGAAGCGGTGCGCAGCTGCTCCAAGCTGGGGGTCGCGAGGTCCGCGGGCGGCAGGTCGGGCATCGCGCGGTCGATGAACTCGTCGGTGGCGAATGCATCGACCCCTGTGCCCAGCAAGACGGGGGCCCAGTGCTTCAGGAGGGTGTCGGCGAAGTCGCAGGCTTGCTGGGCGGCGGGGCCGTCCGGACCTCCGGAGTTGATCTGCAGGCCGTTCAAGATGAGGCGCTGACAGAAGGGGGGCCCACGGCGCTGCGCGCCCGCTTGACCTTCAGTCTGCTCGGGGCTCTTGCTCTGCTTGACCCTTCATGCGGCCTGCTGGGCCTTGCGTTTATGCCAGCGCCGATTGAGATCGTGATAGTCGTTCACGAAGCTGGTCGTGACGACGAGGCGGGCGGTGGCGCACGCTGGAAGGGCAGCAAATACGGGTTCAGAGAGGCCTCCCCCTAAGGGACCTCAGGGGGGGTTCTCCCGGCGCCACTTCCGACCACCTCGGGGTGGCGTCGCCCCGATTAGGAGGCCACACGCGAACCCTGACCCCCTACCCCACCTCCCCCCTTCGAGATCGTGGGGTGGTGGGGTACGGTTCGCATGTGGCCACCGACCAACTCCGTGCTGCGAATCGGGTGCAGAGCGATCCAGCGGTACTGGCGCCACACCGCTCGCGCAGTGCTCCGCAGGTTGAGCCTCCGCCACTCGAGCGCCTCGGGGGGGCCCTTCTCCGTGCCCAGAGGGGAGCTCGGAGAGCGCGTTCTGGGTGAGCCGGGCCGCCTCTTTCAATCGCGCGCCTCGTCTCCGAAGAGCCGCTGCTCGGGGGGGACAGGATGACCAGGTCCAGGGCGCCCATCAAGGTGCCCAGCGTCGCGGCGTACATCGGGGCCTTGCACATGTGCCTGGTGAAAGGAGGAGGAGGAGGAGGAGGAGGAGGAGGAGGAGGAGGAGGAGGAGGAGGAGGAGGAGGAGGAGGGGGGGGGGGGGGGGAGGGGAGGAGAGGGGGGAGGGAGGAGGAGAGGAGGAGGAGGAGGAGGAGGAGGAGGAGGAGGAGGAGGAGGAGGAGGAGGAGGAGGAGGAGGAGGTAGGCGAGGGACGAGCAGGAGGGGTGCGGGGAGCGGGACCCAGCCGGCCCAGGCGGGGACGACGGGGCGCACCCCGCCGGAGGTGTGCTCCGCAGCGGGGCGGGCCGCGCCCGCGCTGCCAGCGCCTCCTCCGAGTGCTCGGCGGGCAGGGCGGCTGGGGCGCGCGCCCGCTGAGCATGATGCGCTTGTCGCTCCCGTGGCTGGTCAACTCCCGCACCATCTGGAAGTATCCTCTGGGCGCGCCCCCCCCGCCCCCCCCCCACATACACATCCCTCTCCCTCCCATCCACCCTCCCCTATCCATGCCCGTCCTCCCTCCCTGCCCCCACGTCGCCCCTGCGCTGCCCTCCCCCCCACGCCTTCCCTCCCCGACGCTTCCATTCCTTCCCCGCCCCCTTCCCTCCCCCCTGCAGTGCTCAGACCAGCAGAAACAGAGCCGTCGAGAGAGAGAGAGAGAGAGCCCTCCGACTTCAGAAAGGAGTCCGATCTCATCTCAGGCGATGCACTTCCTTCAGCACGCCGTGAGAGCTTTGCCAAGAGCTGGCCTTGCGACATCCAGCTGGGGAAACCAAAAGGCACCGACACCGCTACTCCCCGGACCTCTCCTGGGTTGCGTTCTGACCAGGATTCCGAGGCGAATCCAACGGTGGCGACGGGGGCCCCCCAGGAGGCCGAAAAAGCTGAGAAAACGAGCGAAGGGTAGCGGCACAGGCATCTCTTCCTCCTCTGAGCTTTGCCAAGAGCTGGCCTTGGGAGCTTTCCAGCTGCGTGTTGGGCTGTCCGAAGGGTGCCCCGGCGCCTGCCGGGCCGAGGCCCACACGGGCCGCGCGGGGGGGGGGGGGGGGGGGCGGCCGGGGGGAGGGCAGGGGGGAAAGTGAGCCAGGAGACGCCAAGGGTGGCTCGGGAAGTTTCAGCGAGAGGAAGCAGCGATGATCCGCCTGACTGGGACGCTGCGAGGCGTGACTGACAAAAATGGCTCGGCAATCGGCACGCACTGGGTTGGCTGTGGATCCACGCGCACCTTGTGCCGCGACGGCGCAGCGGGGAAGAGCCGATCTGCCCTTCCACTGCGTGAACGGGTACATCACTTGGGAAAAGGTTGAAGGAAGGGAAAAACGGCATAAGCATAAACTTCTGGAGGTCCGCGCGGACTTCTTGGATCCGCGCTGGGCCCCCCTCCCCTGGCGCGCGGAGCGCGCCGGGGGCGGCGCCGGAGGCGCCGCCAGGGGGGGCCTGGCGTAGATCCACGAAGTCTGGGCGGAGCGTCGAAAGCTCACGTTCTCGTGTCGTTTTTTTCTTCTTCTTCTTCTTCGGCAGGCTGCGACGCCTGCCGGCACTCGGCACCGCCGGGGCCGGCGGCGTGCGAGGAGAGGGAGGGAGCCGCCACAAGTGTTGGCGGAGGAGGGCGGCGGCGCAAGCAAGGCATATATATATATATATATATACAAGTGGCACGTGTGTGCCCAGGCTCATACAACAAGCTGAAGGGGCGTTTGAAGCAGGAGTGACATGCAACAGCGAAGTCGCACTCGAGCGCAAGTGAGGTTGCCACACCTTGCGATGTGTGTACCAGGGCCCCCCAGGAAGCCTCAGGAGGCCCGACTTGGATACCAGAAGAGGCTCCAGGAGGCCCCAGGATTGTGAGTGTTGTGTGTGTGTGTGTGTGATGTGTGCTTTGTGTGGTGCGTGCTTTTTGTGTGTTGTCGGTGTTGTGTGTGTGTGTGTGTATGTTATGTTTGTCTAGCGTGTGATGTGTTGGGCGTGATTTGTGTCTCTGTGTGTGCATGTAGTTCTGAAGCCCCAGGAGGCCCCAGGAGGCCCCAGGCGGCCTCAGCAGGCCCAGGAGAACTCCAGGAGGCTCCGAGGCGGGGTCTGGGGTACCAGAAGGTCCAGAAAGCCCCAGGAGGCCCCAGGAGGTTCCAGGAGGCCCCCAGGAGGCTCCGAGGAGGGGTCTGGGGCTCGATTTTGGGAGGATGTCTCAGGCGAAACCGCCATTCTCTGAGAATCGGGGTCAAAATTATTGAAATTACCATGTGTTTTTGAAGGTTTTATGTTAAAATGTTGAAATTCCTATGTGTTTTTGGACCTCTCCTTCACGATCTGCGTGAGGGGTGCCACCGATTTTCAGAATTTTGAGGATGTCCCGAGCGAAACGGCCGGGAAAATCGAAGACGCACGCACGCACGGACGCACGGACGCATTAATCCCCTCTGAGCTCTACTCCCTCGGAGAGGTGCGTATGAGAATATATATACAAGACTGCAGTGGCGCTTCGCGCCATGCACCTTGGTCCTTGAAGGTTGGAATGCAGGCGGAATGGCAGGAAGGTCAAGCCGACAATTTAGCGATAACTCCTGGTTGCCTTTTCCGGCATCGCCGCTATAATGATGTTGTTCGTTATCTTTCCTCCACGTTTATTGTTCCTCATTTTCGCCATACCCTGCGCATTCTCCCCATCCTCCTCAACTCTTTTTTGCGGAAGTTCCTCCTTGGAGAGCTTCTAGGGGCCTCACAAAAGTTGTTTCGGGCTTTCTTAAGGCCTTCTGGAGGCCTCCTGGGCGTATTCTGGGGGCCTCCGGGGGCTTCCTCGGGCCACCGTGCCTCCAACCGCCGTCTCCCTGAACGACCGAATCACGTTTTGGAATTCTTCGGAGGGTGTCTTTGGGCCATCTTGGGCCGCCTTGGGGCTCTCTGAGGGCCATATTGGACCCGTGTTGTGCCGTTTTGGGGCTCTCTTGGACTGCTTGGAAGCCCTTTCGGATGGTTGTGGGGCGATTTGGGAGCCTCCCAGGCGGCTTTGGACGCTTGCAAGACCGCCGTCTTGGAGCGTCGGGAAGCCGAAAAGAGGAGAACCCCAAAATTCGCCAAAAACCCACTGAAAATCCATGATTTTTGCCTCGGGGGGGGCCTTCTTGGAAGTGCTCTTGGAGGCCTCTTTGGGGCCGTCCTGGAGGCCTCTTGGGCCATCTTGAGATCACGTCGGTCACTCTTGGAGCGCTCTTGTGCTGTCTTGGGGGTCTCTGGGACGTCTCCGATGACCCCCCTGATCGCCCTAAGTGTGCTGGGAAGGCTTGGCAAAACGCCTTGCGAGGCCCGGTGGCCGCTTCGAGGCCCGTCCGGAGGGCCCCAAAGCCCCAGGTCCCGGGAGTCCGGTTTTTGGGGGGGGGGTGACGGGTTTTCCCCCCGCCCGGGCTTATAAAATATATAGGAATATATATATATATATATATATATACACACACACACACGACTCGAGGGCTCCGTTTGAAAGCTGTCCTTAGGGAAACGAAAAGTGGCATAAACATAAAAATTCGGAGGTCCGCGCAGATTTCTTGGATCCGCGCTGGAGCCTCCTAGCGGCGCCTCCGGCGCCGCCCCTGGCGCGCTCCGCGCGCCAGGGAAGGGGGTCCAGCGCGGATCCAAGAAATCCGCGCGGACCTCCGAGTTGTTATGTTTATGTCATTGGGGCAGGCCGACAAAGAAAAGCGGGCCAGGCAAGGACAAGAAACAGAGGACAATGAGCAGAGGAGGGAGGAGGCGGGAGGGATCTACTTGAACATCTTGGATCGACGCTGTATCGGATCTCTTGGGTCTTGGGTTCGCGCGGATGTCTTGGATCGGCGCTGCACCCACCTCCCTAAGTGCGCGGAGTGCGCCTGGAGCGGCGCCAGAGGCACCGCCAGGGGGGCCCAACGCCGATGCCAGAAGTCCGCGAGGAGCTCTGCAAGTTGGTTCGCATGCCGTCTCTTGTGAACACCATCGAGTCTCGGGAAGCTGCCGGAGGCTCACAAAGGGGGGACACGAGCGTCGAACAGGCTCTGCCCTCGATCCTCTCCAGCTCCGCCTCCCCTCGTGTTGTACCCCTCTGACCCTGGGAGCGCTTGCTCTGCCCCCGCCCGCGCGAGTCCGTGGAAGTGCTCCACGAGCGGCTCCCACGCGTTGTTCCGAGGGTTCAGAATCTCCACCTGCGCGACGATCAATAAAGGGTCCTACGCGAGATGGCACAGCGACCTTGCACCGCGGCTTGCGCGGGCCGCGAGCGCGGCACGCCACGTGGCAAACGAGGGCGCTCACGCGCGACCTTGCGCGGGCAGCTCACGCGCCAAAGTCGGCGCAGACGACCCCGTTTTTTGGTTGCGTCGCTCACCTGGCGCGCTTCGGACAGGGCCGCGCCTTCGTCGGAGGGCGCCTCCGGCGGGCCGGCGGCAGCGGGCGGACGCCGAGCGGCCTAGGGCCGGCCGGCGGAAGCTCGGCGGAGGACGGCGGAAGCAGAAGTGCGACGTGAACGTTGTCGGATCCCGGGCTGCCGCAGGCGGCAAGACATGGCGAGGCGGCGGCAGAGCGGCCTGGCCCACCTCCTCCTCCAGCTCCTCCTGCTCCACCTCAACCTTCACCTCCTCCTCCTCCTCGTGCTCCTCCTCGTGCTCCTCCTCGTGCTCCTCCTCCTCCTCCTCCTCCTCCTCCTCCTCCTCCTCCTCCTCCTCCTCCTCCTCCTCCTCCTAGTCCTCCTCCTCCTCCTCCTCCTGCTCCTCCTCCTCCTCCTGGAGTCCTGGTCCTGCTCCTGCTCCTGCTCCTGCTCCTGGCTTCTGCTTCTGCTCCTCCTCCTCCTCCTCCTCCTCCTCCTCCTCCTCCTCCTCCTCCTCCCTCCCTCCTCCTCCTCCTCCTCCTCCTCCTCCCTCCTCCTCCTCCTCCTCATCATCTCATCATCACCACCACACCACCACCACCACCACCACCATCATCATCATCATCATCATCATCATCATCATCATCATCATCATCATCATCATTATCATCATCAGTATCATCATCATCATCATCATCATCATCATCAGCATCATCATCATCACCATGATCACCATCATCATCATCATCATCATCAGCAGCAGCATCAGCATCAGCATCAGCATCATCAGCATCAGCATCAGCATCAGCATCATCATCATAATCATCATCCTCGTCCTCCTCCTCATCATGATGATAATCATCATCATCACCATCATCCTCATCATCAACATCATCGTGGACATCATCATCATGATGATCATCATCATCACCATCATCATCACCATCATCATCATCAGCAGCAGCAGCATCAGCAGCAGCATCATCACCATCAGCATCATCATCATCAGCATCATCATCAGCATCGTCGTCATCATCATCATCCTCATCATCATCAGCATAATCATCATCATCATCATCATCAGCATCATCATCATCAGCATAAGCATCATCAGTGTCATCATCTGCAGCATAGCATCATCGTCATCAGCAGCATCATCCTCATCAGCACTATAATTATCATCACCACCATCATCACCATCATCATCATCACCACCATCATCATCATCAGCATCATCATCATCAGCATCATCATCATCAGCAGCCGCATGTTCCTGCTCCTACTCCTCCTCCTCCTCCTTCTCCTCCTCCTCTTCCTCCTCCTCCTCCTCGTCCTTCTCCTCCTCCTCGTCCTCCTCCTCCTCCTCCTCCTCCTCGCCCCCCCTGCTTGGATATTAGGGGCCCCGTCAACAACTCGGGGTTAGCTGGGGCAACCCCCGCTGGTGGAATCAGCGGGGCTATCGGTGCCGGCTGGAGGTCGGGATGCATAACCAGTAGCGGCCACTGGACGGAGGCCGTGGGTGACCGACCCAGGGACAGGCGGAGGCCGGGCCCTCTTTCAGGGCTCGGGGTGCGTCCCGCCCGGGGGGGAGGGGCAGGCCGCGGGGGACTGCCCCTCCCCTCCTCCTTCCTCCTGGCTCCTCTTCTCCTCCCCCTCTCCCCTCTCCTCTCCTCCCCACGGGGTTCATAGTCCCACTGCGGCCCACTCCCCCGCCGGGGCTGGGGCCAGAGGCCCCCGCGGCGGCGGCCAGTGCTCCCGAGAGCGCGGAGCGCCAACGCCGCCGCCGCGGGGGGGGGCGCGGATGGTTGATGTTTCCGCTGCGCCGTTTTGCAGGAGGCCCCCCCAAAACCTCAGGCGAGGGGGGTCTCGATTTTGACTTAAGCCGACCTCCACCGCCCAGGGACGGCATGGGGTGAGTGAGGCTTCAATCGTCGCCGCGGTGCGTGCCTCGCATCTGCGGAGATCAGGCCTGCAACATCCTGCAACATCCTCCTCCTCCTCCTCCTCCTCCTCCTCCTCCACCGCCTCTTCCTCCTCCTCCTCCTCCTCTTCCTCCGAATGCTCCTCCTCCTTCTCCTCATCGCGCGTAGAATATCGTCATGCTCCTCTTCTTCCTTCTCCTCCTCCTCCTCGTTTTCCTCCTCCTCTTCCTCATATTATTGTTCCTCCTCCTCCTCCTCCTCCTCCTCCTCCTCTCTCCTCCTCCTGCTTCCTCTCCTCCTCCTCCTCCTCTCATCATCGTCCTCCTCCTCCTCCTCCTCCTCCTCCTCTCCTCCTCCTCCTCCTCCTCCTCCTCCTCCCCCTCCTCCCCCTCCTCCTCCTCCTCCTCCTCCTCCTCCTCCTCCTCCTCCTCCTCCTCCTCCTCCTCCCCGTCCTCCCCCCTCCTCCTCCTCCTCCTCCTCCTCCTCCTCCTCCTCCTCCTCCTCCTCTCTCATCATCATCATCATCAATCATCATCATCATCATCATCTCATCATCATCATCATCATCATCATCATCATCATCCTGCTCCTCCTCCTCCACCTCCTCCTCCCCCTCCTCCTCCTCCTCCTCCTTCTCCTCCTCCTCTTCCTCCACGTGTGTGTTTACATATTTCTAGTATATAGCATCGAAGTGTTAGTGCTAGTGTTAGTCGTAGTTAATGCGGATAGTAATACGAATATGTTGATTAGTGGTGATAGACGAAGAAGAAGATGGAGAAGTCGTAGTAGTAATCGTAGTAGGAGACGTAAGTGTAGTAGTAATAGAAGAAGTAGTAGCTAATCGTAGTCGTAGTCGTAGTCGTAGTCGTATTAGTAGTAGTAGCAGTAGTAGTCGGTAGGTAGGTAGGTAGGTAGGTAGGTAGGTAGGTAGGTAGGTAGGTAGGTAGGTAGGTAGGTAGGTAGGTAGGTAGGTAGGTAGGTAGGTAGGTAGGTAGGTAGGTAGGTAGTAGTGGTGGTAGTAGTAATAATAGTGGTGGTAATAGTAGTAGTAATAGAATACGTGGTAGTTCTGGTACCAGTAATCGCAGTTGTAATCGCAGTAGTGGTAGTAGTAGCAGTAGTAGTAGTAGTAGTACTAGTAATAATAGTAGTGGTGGCTTTAGTAGTAGTAACAATTGTTGTTGGTGTTGTAATAGTACCGTGTATAAAATACTAAGAATAGCCGTGTAATCCGTCTTCGTATGCTTCATACTACTACCTCTATGCTTCTATTACGAACAATATTAGTACTAGTCGTATTGTGAATGCTACGGTGAGTGCGAATACCAAGTACTAGTCGTATCATTGGCGTCCGTACTATTAGTAGCAGTTGTATTACTACAGGTAGTAGTATCCTCTCTCCTCCTCCTCCTCCTCCTCCTCCTCCTCCTCCTCCTCCTCCTCCAACTCCTGCCCCTCTTCTGGGGGGCTGGGGGGGGATGGGGGGGAGGGGCAAGCCGCAGCTTGGGGCGCAAGCGGCCACCTCCAGCGTGAACCGCATGTGCATCTCCAGGAAGGAGTGGGGCAGGCTGTACTTGTACACCTGCGGCCCGCGTGGCTCGGCGCTGGCCAGAAAAGCTGGAGGACCCTGCGGGGCCTGCTCGAAGACAGGAACACGCAGTCGACCCGTATACTGAGGACGCACGACATGGACGCAGAGACCTCGGAAAGCTATGTCGACACCTTTTCGGGCGGGGCGCGGCCAGCGCAAGCGGCCAAGGATGGGCCGAAGGGAGAAGATGCAAGGGTAACCTTGGAAAGCCGCTCATCTTTACGATGCGGGTTGTACGGATCACCCTTTCTCCGAAGGCGTACTGCGTCGAACGCAACGGCCGCGTTCTCCATAGAGATATTCACCCCGAATGCGTCCGTGCACGTAACGACACCCACTTTGCCCAGAGACGACAGTGGCCAGAAAATGAGAGCGGCATGTGGCATACGGCCAGACCTAGGACAGAAGGCCACCCCTGAAAAACACGAGACCCTCCGCCGGCCCAAACGGAAGAACATTCGTGGGTGCCGTTCCCAATAATAGTATTCTTGGGACCCGAAGGAACGGGTGAACGGCAGAGCTTAATAAATCAACAAGCCACTAGCACGGTGGGCAACCAAACGGCGCGAACAACCTGGCTGTCAAAGAACAAATCCATTATTGTTTCATCTAGCATCTCTCTCACGAGAAATCCATTATTCACTGGGAATCCTCTTTGAAGGGAAATGGGCGCGAGAATACACAAGAGCAGCCAACAGACACGACGACCAGTAGGGTACCCTTCCCGAGCCGACCTCCACCTTATGTCTCGGCCCGGTCGTAGGCCCAGAGACTGGTTTTCTGGTGACGAGGAGGAGGAGGAAGAGGAGGAGGAGGAGGAGGAGGGGGAGGGGGAGGAGGAGGAGGAGCAGGAGGAGGAGGAGGAGGAAGAGGAGGAAGAGGAGCGAACATGCGCCGACGGGGACGATCCATCCGATCATGGGCGACCGCGCGGCCCCGCTTCGCCCACGAGGCAAGCAGCCAGCCTCAGGGCACGGCGGGCGGCGGCGACAGCCGCTGTCCACTTAGAGCATCTGGTCGGCGATGGCCTCCTGTTCACCCTCCTCAGTATCTGCCCGAACGAGTGAGAGGCGGGGGACGAACTCAGCCGCGCCAGCGTTCAACGAAGCAGAGCCCGCAGCTGCACTGCACCGTCGATGCCGCCACTGCTGGTGCCGGGCAGCGCTCGCACGTCGCAGAATCGTACACGTCGGTCGGAAAGAAGTAAGTAGAAACATGAAGTAGGAAGGCGGATAAAGTGGAGTGGGCCCAGGCCCTCCCAGAGAACAACGAAACACAGCAAAAGCATGCCGATTCTTGGAGTAGGAAGGCGCTTGAAGTAGATTGGGATGTGGAAATCCAAAAGCACCTACTTTCTCAACGACCGGCATGTACACATGCGTGCAAGGACCTTGTCCGAGAAAATGCCACGAGCCTCCATCCATCGCAGGAAGTCGAACGCAGGGTCCGCAGGTGGGGCGCTCCGTGGAGCACTTCTCAAGGCCGCACTGCAGCAGCAGTTCGCGCCTGAGGTCCAACAGCCGAGATACAGTCATCGGCCTGACCTAAGGAACGATAAATAAGGAACGAAGCCCCTGTTTTCCAAGGAAAAAAGCATACGGAACAATAAATAATCAAACAAACGCATAAGGAACGATACGTAACGCATGCTAGCCTTAAGGAACGACCGAGCCCCTTTTGAAAAGTAAGTGTTCCTTAATCAAGCCGCTCACTGTATGGCCTCGGGTGGTACGAAGTAGGGAAGAAGACCGAAGGGAACTATGCACATGCACCGATGACGGTCCAGAAGTCGGAGCACTGTCGCACAGGCATCCTAGAACTCCGGACATGAGCGCGCAGACACCCGAGCTCGTCGACCATGGAAACGAAGCGCGCCAAGCGCAAAGTTCAATGCCATGTAGCTGGTCCCGTCAAGGGAACTGGATGCGAGGGAGCGCCGCTGGGAGGAACAAAAATTCTAGGTATGATACTCTGGAGGAACACGTACCCCAGGCCCGCGAAATAGAGGACGCCACCGCACCAGAGAGCGCTGACATGAGAGGACCGAGGGGCGCGAACATCGGCCGGGCCGCGGGATGGCTTATGAGGAGCCAAGGAGGATGGAGGAGGCAGTGATGAGGAGGAGAGGAGGGGAGGAGGAGGAGGAGGAGGAGGAGGAGGAGGAGGAGGAGGAGGAGGAGGAGGAGGAGGAGGAGGAGGAGGAGGTTAGACTCGGCCCTCCAGACCCCCGCCCGCCCCCACGCTGAGGGGAGAACCTGGGCCCCCAGGCCTACCTGCCCGACGCCAAGGGGCGGGGACGGGCGCCGTCTCTCTCGGGACTCGCGGCACCCATCCTCGCCCAGAGGGTGAACGCCGGGAGTTTACACCCCAGCTCAGAGTGAAGAACCTTCTACGCTAAGAGAATCGGCCTCACTACAAGCGCTCTGCTTGAGCAGTAGCTAAGGTCCATACATATACATATACATGTACATATATATATGGATTATCATACATGCAAGCATCCATCCATCCATCAATCCATCCATGCATGCATGCATGAATACCTGCGTACACTCATATATCTATGTGTGTTTGCACACATACATACACACATGCATACGTGTATGCAAACATAAATACATACATACATACAGACATACAGGCATACATACATACATACATGCATGCATGCATGCATACATATATAAATATATACATACATACATACATGCATACATACATACATACATGCATGCATACATACGTACATACATGCATGCATACATACATGCATATATGCATGCATGCATACATACATGCATGTATACATACATACATCCACACGTACATGTGTACATACATACATACATACATACATACATACATACATACATACACATACATACATACATACATACATACATACATACATACATAGATGTATACATACATGTGTACACACATGCATGCAGACATGCATATATACATACATACGTACGTAGATACAGACACACATGCATACATACATACATGAATGCATACATGCATGTATATACATATACGTACATACATACACACATACATACATACATACACGCATGCATGCATGCATGCATGCAGACATACATACCTGCGTACCTACATACATACATACATGCATAAATACATACACGCGTACATACATGCATATATACACACATTCCTACATACATGTATATATACATACATACATACATACATACATACATACATACATACAGATATACATACATACATACATACATACATACATACAGACATGCATGCATACATACAAACGTACAATCATACATACATGCATACATATATACATACATACATACAGACATACACACATACATACATGTATATCAGCATTCCCCAGGAGCTCCAAGGAAAACGCCCAGGGCCCAGTCCGGACTCTTGGTTCTCTGGCGCGAAATGTAGAGCCCGCGAAAACACCACGCTGTTTAGAAGCTCTCTGATGGGAGCATCTGTGGTGGACGTGGGTGGGAGTCGAGCACGACCTCGCCGGCGCTCCAGCCGCGACGAGGGGAGCCGACGAGGGCCCGCAGCCGCACGCAGCGAGGGTCCAGGGCAGACACGAGCGGCGGAGGGGCCCACCGCACAGGACCGAGGGAGGCCCGGGAACCACGCGGGGGAGAGCCGCCCTGCCCGGCCCCGGCAGGGGTCGGGACGGCTCCCCGGACCCCCGACGTCGTGATCCGTTCTGTCCCAGCGTCGACACCCAGAGGTTTGGACCATAGGGGGCCACAGGCGAACCCTACCCCATACCCCCCACGATTTCTGAGGGGGAGGGTGGGGTTCACTTCGCTCAGAAATCGTGGGGGGTAGGGGTAGGGTTCGCCTGTGGCCCCCTACTGGACCCCCTCCCCGGGGCCGGCTTGTCCTCCTGGGTCGTTACTCGACGTCCCCGAGGCCCAGGAAGGGCCCCCAGAGGCCGACAGTGGCGAAAAACCTCCCGTCGGGAGATTTTGGTCGCAGTGCGAGGAGGTCGGGGGCTGACGACGACTGTCAGCGCGCAAGCCGTGGCTGACGGCCGCGGCGCCAGCAGTCGCCTGGCCGCCGCCGCCGCAACGCGGCCTTCGGCGGCGTCCGGCAGGCTTCTCGGCCTGCCTGCCAATGGGCGCTGGCGGCCTCTTCTGTGAGCCCTGGTGGGAGGAGGCGGGGGCGCTATTTCGGCGGCCCCGGTGCAGTCACAAGGAGCCCAGACCCCCTCGGGTACCGAAAATTATCCTGGCGAAGGACCCAACCATATGCAGTTGTGAGTATCGCAATTGTGAGTATCTTCTTCGGTGGCGCTCCCTATGGGGCCACGAACCGCATGAGGGGTGTGCCGAAATGTGGCGGGGCACACAACGCAAAGGAATACGATAGATCTGATTACGAGAGAAAGAACGCGGGTGAGTCAGAGCAAGAGGGAATCTGAGTATGAATGGGTCTGCGCGCGAGTGAATATATTTGCATGAGTGCGATCATGGAAACGCCTAGCGTAAGTGTATATGAATGTGAATGGTTCGAGCATGCCTGTCCGAACACACGTGACACGGGGCGTGGCCGCCGCAGGCAGCTTCCGCGGGAACCCCGACGGCAGCGTCCGCACGTCGCGACGCCCATGTCGGCACGCCTCTTGCGAGGATCGCGCCCGCTTTCGGCTCTTCTTTTCCTTCCTCTTTGCCCGCGCACTCCAAAATCCAAGGCTGCGGGCGCAGCGCAGCGCGGAGTCCCCGCGACGCGCGCTGGTCGCCCCGGGCGGGGTCCCAGCGACGCGCGCGGGTCGTCCGCTGCGCGAAGCAGAGAGAGCTGACTAGCTAACTGGCTGGCTGATAGCGGGCAAGTCTCTGACCGCTGGGCCGAGCGACGACGGGCGAACGAGGCGCCGGGCTCCCCGCAGCACGGAGTTCCCGCGTCGCGCGCTGGTCGCCCCGAGAGGGTCCCAGCGACGCGCGCGGGTCGTCCGCGGCGCGAGGCCA